GGGGTACGCGCCTACCTGTGGCGTCGGGCAGGGGCGTGCGTGGGGGCAGCCCCGGAGAACACATCGCATTCAAAATTTTCAACTTGTGCATCGGAAACGTATGAGTTTGTGGAAAGCTTGTTTGAAGTCTTCGTTAGACATAGTGTAGATGATGGGGTTGATGAGGGAGTTGAGATATCCAAGCCACGTGAAAAAGTCAAAGATGGCCATGTGGAACCAGCAAGCGTCCTTGCAAATGGGCAACACCAGGCTGATGATGAAAAAGGGCAGCCAACAGACGATGAAGGCTCCTAAAATAATCCCTAAAGTCTTAGTAGCTTTCCGCTCTCTAGCGGCCGTGAGCTTCTTTTTCTCCAGCAAGGCATCCGACACCTTCACCTTCACCTGGTTCATGTACACGGGAGAGCCCGTTTCGCTGGATCCCTCGGGGGCCTTGGAGTTTATGGACGTGACGGAGGAGGATGACCCCGGGGAGTCTGTGATTAACTGAGCCCGCGTTAGTCTTTTACCTGCTTTCTTTGGCGTCTGCTTCAAAATCCGCGATCTGGCTTCCACGTAGATCCTCCCGTAGAGGGCTATCAGCAGCAGAGTGGGGAAGTAGAAGGCTCCCACCGTGGAGTACACGGTGTAGAGGACATGGTCCGTGTTCACCACACAGTGAGAGACTTCCTCGGCCTTCCTCCCCCTGCCGCCAAAACAAAGGGGGCATGGAGATGCAGATGGAGAAGACCCACACCAGAGCGATCATGCCCGCTGCCCGCTTGGGAGTCCGTTTCGTGGAGTACTCAACGGCATCAGTGATCGCCCAGTAGCGGTCCAGGGCGATGACACAGAGGTGCAGGATGGAGGCCGTGCAACAGGTGATGTCCGAGGACAACCAGATATCGCAGACGATCTGGCCCAGTGTCCACTTGCCGGTCACAGTGTACATAGTACTGATGGGCATGACGAGGATGGAGACGAGGAGGTCGGTGACGGCCAGCGAGGCGATGAGATAGTTGGCCGGCGTGTGGAGTTTCCTCGTCTGGTAGACCGTGGCGATGACAAAGGCGTTGGAGAGCACCGTGGCCAGGGTGACAAGCGCCAGGACGACGGCGAGCACGATCTTCCCGGAGAGGGGGGTGGCATCTTGGTAGATCCCTTCCTCGGCGCTGCAGTTTCGGCCGTGGTAAGAGTCGTTGGCGGGAAGCAGCGGCGCCCGGCAGGGGCCGGCCGGCTCCATCCCT